TGTCTCAGGCTTGCTACAGGTATTTCAGTGAAGCTCAGCGCAAGCTGGAAGGACAACACCTCATTTTCTGCTTGGGAACCCTGCAGCCCTCCAGACTCAATATCGAGTTCAATAATTTTAGGGCCTTCAACTCTCCTGTGTCCTAGACCCAAACCCCACACACCAGGCCTTGTTATCACATTGTAATGGCAGATTAAGTCTCCATTAATAGCTATTCGCCCTCATAGCCAGATCGTTATCCACTCATTTGTCTATCCAACTGTTCTTTTCTCTCTTTGGGCTCTATCTCCACCTGTCGTTTACTCCTTACCCCCTCCTTGAACCCTATCTTCTGCATATAAACTGACATTTTCCAGCTACCATCAGTTCTGAGGAAGGGTCATCAGAGCCAAAATGTTAACTCTGATTTTCTCTTCACAGATGCTGCCAGATCCGCTGAGCTTTTCCAGCAACTTCTGTTTTTGTTTCTGATTTACAGCATCTGCAGTTCTTTTGGGTTTTTTAGTATTTTCATCTGGACTGTTCATGCTGGTAACTCAGAATGCCTAGAGAAATCAACAAGGTTCCACAGGTAATCCCAAGAAGCTAAATCAAGCTCAAAACTGCAGAATCCACCCAAAGGCAAATGACACAGTAGGATCCAGCACTCTGTATGCTTCACTTAAGACCTTTATTGTAACAAAGACTTTCCATAACGATCATTATTTTTAATGTGCATATAATTGAGCATTGAAATTCATAGTTTACAGCAAGACCTTTATTAACAGCACCTAAGCCAGTGCACACATCTTGAAGGGACAATTCAATAAATAAAAAGAAAATCTGAAACCATGCTTTACATTCTAGTATTGTGTTCAACATGCAGTTTCTGACTATCTCTTGGGAGAACTATTAATATAGGAAACCACCGATAGTGCAAAAGAAAATTAAGCAGTGGTTCAGTGATACCAACCTCGGGTTCTAAAAGTCTTTAAATCCAGCAACCTCAAAGGAAGGTAAGAAAAGGATGAATATGTTAAGGGAATGAGTCTTTGTAGGACGGAGCTTTCGTAATGGGACTACTTCCTTGAGACATCTCCCACTCAGTAACTTTGTTGAAACCCTACTGACACAAGTAAATCAAGTTCTGCTGAACTTAGGATTGGAGTGGGCGAAATGGAAAGACAAATGACCCATGAGTAATAAGACCAACATTATTCTATGCTACAAACTGGATATGTAGCATAGTTATTACCAGAACTGTGTGTCATTGGAGTGAGTTAACTGTGGTTTGGGGGGAAAATAGCTTTCAATGGGGTTAAGTCAGCTTCAGAAATCTGAAGAAGGGCCCCGACCCAAAACGTCAACTTTCCTGCTCCTCTGATGCTGCCTCGCCTCCTGTGTTCCTCCAGCTCCACACTGTGTTATTCCTGACTCCAGCATCGGCAGTTCTTACTAACCTTTCAATGGGGTTAACCTCCTTTAGGAGCTTATGTTCTCGCAATTTTTCATCGGGGAGAAGTAGCAGTAATACCATTTAATCAGTAGGTTACTCTGGGAAAAAAAGAGACTGTCTTACGGAAAAGTTCCCTGGGTGGGTGATGCACAACCACAAAGGGGCAGGAGAGAAAAACCAGAAAGAAGATATCAATTTTAAGAAAATTTCAGAGCAAGTGTTACAATTGACAAGAATACATGTTTACATTTGCCATCAATACAACAACATATAATACAAAGAGAGCAGTAATTATATTATGAACAGAACAGTAAGGCTACAATTCAATATATTGCACAATAAAACCTCTAATTGGGTTAAATTACTCTTTTATAAAAATAAACAATTGTTTGACTGTTTTCACATAAAATTGGAACATGTTAAACCATTTAACACAAACCTCACTGCAGCTTCCTAACATTACACAAAGACAAAAATCCAAGAATAAGTACATCAACAACCAGCCAGTCATTGGTGATGGGAAGGTTTTTAGAAATGATAATTTGGGACAAAATTAGCAGCCATGCGGACAAATGTTGACTAATTAAGAAAAGCTAACACAGATTTCTGAAGGGCTAAATAGTGTTTGACTAATCTAGGTTTTGTTGTGGTAACACAGAGGGTAATATATATGGTGTAAATGGACTTCCAAAAAGGCATTTGATAAAGTACTCATCAGAAAAATAAGTCCATGGAATAAAACAGACAGTAGTGACATGGATACAGAATTAGCTAAGAGCTAGCAAACAGTAATGGTGAATGGTTATTTTTCTGGACTAGAGGAAAGTATAGAGTGGGGTACCTCAGAGGAACTATCGGGACCATTTTTGAGGTCTATTAATGATTGGGGCTTGATCGTATAAGGCACATTTCAAAGCTTGCAGATAACACAAAACTTGGAAATATTGTGAATTGTAAGGTGGTTAGTGATAGACTTCAAATCCACAGGCTGATGAACGGCTGGACATGACGCAGATCAAACTTAAGGCAGAGAAATATAAAGTGATACATTTGGAAGGAAGAATGAGGATAGGCACCATTTTAAAAAAAAGGATCTGATAGTAAGGAGCTGCAGGAGCAAAGGGACGGAAGTGTACAAATAGTTGAAGATGGTACAGCAAATTGAGAAACCCATAAATAAGGCATATAGAATTTGGGCTTTAAAAATTGAAGTAAGCAGTACAACAGTAAGAAGTTACGGTGAGCCTTTATAAGACACTGGTTCAACCTCAACTGAAGTTGTATCCAATTCTAGGAACCACAGTTCAGGGAAGGTGTGAAATCACTACAAAAGGTGTAGAATGGTTTACAAGAATGGTTCAAAAGACAAGGGATGTCAGTGATGTGGATAAATTGGTGAATCTAGATGGTGTTCTGAGAGAAGGCTGAGAGGAGGTTCGATTAAGGTGTTCAAAATTACGAGGGGCCTGGACAGGGTAGATAGAGAGAAACTGTCCTCATTTGTGGGACATTTGAAAACCAGAGGAGAAAGGTTTCAGGCAATTGGCAAAAGAACCAAAAGCAACACACGGAAGAAATTTATATTGCAGTGAGCAGTTAGGATTGGGAATGCACTGCCTAAAATGTGTGGTGGAGGCAGATTGAGTTGTTGCATTCAGAAGAAAATTGTATAGTGATCTGAGAAGAAAGAATTGGCAGGACTATGAGAATACGGCAAGAGAGAAGGTTGGAGGCTGGCAAATTGGTATTGCTGGACTAGCATGGACACCAATGGGCCGAATGGCTCCTTTCAATCCTGTAACCATTCTATGATTCAAAAGATCCTGCTTTCATGTCTGATCAGCAGATCACTGAGCAACTGAGTCATTTGGAAAGGGTGTCCCAGAGGGGTTGGGTGAGTGACGTGATGGGCACAAAGGACACAGCTTGAGCTGACTGCACACTAACATGGGTTCTCTGCAGTTTATTGCACCAGTTCTCAGTGGGATTCCAATACATTTCCACGAACAAAGGACACAAACATACAGCAGCAAGAAAACAAAAGTCTTAATTGTTCTGTCCCAGTTTTCTGCTTGTTACCTCCTCAAGGAGTTGGGATGAATCCAGTTACTACATCATGCTACATCTCAGCAGGATAACACACACCAACTAACATCACTGCCAACAGCATCCAGGCTCAACCAGGAGAAAAGGAATTGTCCACGAAGACCACTTCAACCTGCTCCACATGGTCTTACCAGGAGTAAACGTAGCCTTGTTTATTTGTGTAGGGCAGCACGGCCGGAGAAAGAGGACACATAAGGCACCAGCAGGCTGTGAGATGAAACAGACAAGGTTGCAGGCAGATCTGTGGGACACAAAAGTGTGAAGATAAGAACTGATGGAAGAGAATAAAACACTAACAAAAACAGAGTTCCTGACAGTGCAGACGGAGAAAGACAGTACATCATAGAATTAGAATTGTTCAGGAGGAAGCCAATCAGTTCTTTCAAGAGGCAATCCAGGTTTGACTCACTTCCTGAAATGGATAGAGATAGCACTTCAAAAATATTTAGATATGCACTTGTTGTAGCCTACAGGCACATGGATCAAAAGCTGGAGGGTTCTATCATTTGCAAATGCTGGAAATGTTGTATCATTTGGCCCATTGTGTCCCCTCCAAACATTCTGCCATTCACTTTAAAAGTGTGCCCCTTTTTATTGACCCTTCAACTCAGAGGAAAAGCTGCTTTCATTTTAGCCTATCCCTCATAATATTAAACACCTCAATCAGGTCTTCCCTGAACCTTCTTAGCGGCAAAGAACACAAGACAAGCTCATCCAGCCCTTTGTCATAGCTGGAACAAACGATTAGTTTAAGTTCAGTCATGGTATACAGCAGAAAGGGGAAAAGGTACCACAAACAAATCCAGAGCTCCCTGGATGACTGAAGAGGTACAGAGTAAGAAGCAAACAAAGTATGTCAAATGTCAGCTGGACAGCACAATCGAAAGCCGACCTGAAAATGGAAAGTTCAAAGGGAAACTGAGAAAACAAATAGACCAGGGAATGAAAAGAAACAGACAGGAAGCATTAAAGCAAATCCATAAGTTTTTCCAGGCATTAAATTACTGGAAAGTAGATGAGGAGGAATAAGTCTGATTAGGGACAAATTTTTAAAAAAATTCATTCATGGGATGAGGGCATTACTGGCTAGGCAGCATTTATAGCTCATCCCTAATTGCCCAGCGGGCAGTGAAGAGTCAACCACATTGCTGTGGGTCTGGAGTCTCATGTAGCCCAGACCAGGTAAGGATGGCAGTTTCCCTCCCTAAAGGACATTAGTGAACTAGGTGGGTTTTTCTGACAATCGACAATGGATTTATGGTCATCGTTAGACTTTCAGATTTTTTAAAAATTCAAGTTCCACGATCTACTGTGGCGGGATTCAAACCTGGGTCCCCAGAACATTATCTGGGTCTCTGGATTAACAGTCCAGTGATAATACCACTAGGCCATCACTGCCTCATCATCACCACCGCAAGACGGAGCTTTATGCACGGAGACAAGGAAATGGATGTTTATTAAATAAGTACTGTACCAAGGAAGATGCTGCTGCCCACAGCATGGTGAAAGGGAAGGTCATTCAGATTTTTGAAGGGTTTTACATTGATAAGAAGGAAGTATTGATGTTGATACTTCCTCCTTATCAACATTTAATGTTGATAACCTCCTTATCAACATTTAATGTTGATGAGGCATCATGACCAGATGAGATGCAGCCAAGGATACTAAAAGAAATGAGAGTGGAAATTGCAGAGCCACTGATTATAATTTTTCAGTCTTCCTTGGACTCAGGATTGTGCCAAGGATTGAGGAATTGCAATTGTCACACTCTTGTTTAAAAAAGAGAGTATAAAGATTAGCCCAGCAACTACAGCCAGTTTAATTCTGGGGGTGGGGTAACTTCTGGAAACAAGAATTCAGCCCAAAATTAATCATTTGTTGGGCAGATACAGGTTCATGAAAGACAGCCTGCATGGATTTGTTAAGAACAAATGTTGCCCTAGCTGCCCTTATGCAGTAACAGAGGGGCTTGATGAGGATTACGCTGTGGATGTAGTGCACATGGACTCCCAAAAGGCACTTGATAAAGTGCCGCATAACAGGCTTGTAATCAACATTATAGCTCATGTAATAAAAGGGACTGCAGCAATACAGTCACAAAATTGGCTGAGTGACAAGATAGAGGAAGTACTGGGTAATGGATGTTTTTCAGGCTAGATGACGATTTGTAGTGGAGTTCCCAGGGGTTGGTGTTAGAATCTTTGTATTTCCTGATGCACATTAATGATTTTTCTTTTTATTCATTAATGGCTCAGCCGATATTTATTGTCCATCCCTAAGAGGGCAGTTAAGAGACAACCACATTGCTGTGGATCTGGAGTCAGACGTAGGCCAGATCAGGGAAGGATGGCAGTTTCCTTCCCTAAAGGACATTAGTGAACTAGGTGGGGTTTTAAGTTACATGATTGCCATTAGACTAAACTTTTTTAATTCCAGATGTTCTTATTGAATTCGAATGTCACCATCTGCCATAGCGTGAAGTGAACCCACGTCCACAGAATATTAGTCTGTGTGTCCTGGATTACTAGTCTGAGATATTACCATTACACTTCACCCCCTCTAAACTTAGACCTTGGCACATAGGTTACAGTTTTAAAATTTACAGATGAGTTGAAACCAAGAAGTGCTGTGAACTGTGAGGAGGACACAGACAGCCTGGCGGAATGGGTGGAGAGGCTGCAGGTGAAATTTAATGCAGACAAGTGTGAAGTGATTCGTTTTGGTAGGAAGAACGTAGAGAAGCCAGACCAAATAAAGGGCACAATTAATTCTACAGGGACTGCAAGAGCAGAGGGACTTGTTGGGTGCATGTGTGTAAACGATTAAGGTTGTTAGGAAGGGATTGACAGCAGTTAATAAAACATACAGCACTCCAGACTAAATCTATAGAGGGACTGAGTAAAAATGCAAGAAAGTTATGTTAAAGCTGTATAAAACACTGGTTCAGTTTCCACTGATTCTGGGCAGCACAGTTCATTAAGGATGTGACAATGTTAGAGAGAGCTCGGTGATAATTAACAAGAATGGCTCCAGGATGAGGAATTTCAGTTATGAAGGTAGATTCAAGAAGTTGGGCCTGTTTTCCTTGGACAGTGAAAGTTGAGAGATTTGATAGAAACGACCAATCCTGAGAGATGTGGACATGGTAGATACGGAGAAACTATTCCCACTGGTGGAAGGGTTGAGAATGAGAGGACACAGATTTAAGGTGATCGGCAAAACAAGCCATGGAGACTCGAGGAGAAACTCTCTCATGCAGCGAGTCATTAGGATCAGGAATGAGCTGCGTGAGTGGGTGGTCAAGGCATGGTCAATTGAGGCTTTCAAAATGAAATGGCAACAGAAATTGCTGTAAATGCTCAGCAGGGGAGAAAGTGTGTTAATGTTTCAGGTCAAGGTGAGCTTTCCTCAGAAGCAATTCTTGATTCCCAACTCTCTTGTTACTTCCTATTTGCCTCCTTCCCTTTGTGCCTCACTGAGTCAACAGACAGCCCCAGTGGGTGTACCCAGGGTCGGGTACTGGGGAGGTGTGACACCACTGGGCATCTCCCTGAAAGAGTGGGGAGTCAGGTATCATACTCTCAGCAATGGAGTCACACCCAGACCCATTTTCGTGCTCCTCTATGCCTTCAGGAGGCCAGGTGCATACCTACAGGTAGGTTTCGAGTAACTGCAAACAATTCAAAAGTACACGTACGTTGGAGAGGGACAGGCTGCAGCTCAGGAGGTACGATACATGCGAATCTTCTGCTCGATGTCCTTCCGGCAGAGGGGGCAGGTATACAGACTTGCTCCACATGTCTGACAGCAGCAAACGTGACCACACGGCAGGAAGATCATCTGACTCTGATGAAGTAAAACACGAGAGAGATTGTTAACACTTCGCATCTGAACTGCATTCACAACCAACCCCCCGTGTCTCTCCCTTTGCCTTTTTAAAGCATTTCTCCTTTGGCTATTTTCTAATCAGCCTGGTGTTACTGCACACCTCTGCAGCGGGTGGAACTTGAACCCAGGCCTCCTGGCTCAGAGGTAGGGACAGTACCACATGAGAACAGATTGGCCTTTATCTCTCTACTACAGCATCTTCAGGATGCACTCGAACAGTTTCCTAACCCAGAGCCTCTACCACCCGGAAGGACAAGGGCAGCAGACAGATGGGAACACTACCACATACAATTTCCCCTTCAATCCACACTCCTTTCTAACTTGGAAATATATCACTGTTCCTTCAGCGCTGCTGGGCTGAAATCCTGGACCTCTTCCTAACTGCACAGTACAACCATAAGCTACTGTGGTTTAAGACAATCCAACAGCTTCTTAAGGGTTAAGTAACAAATGCTGGTGTTCAGAAGCTGCTGGAACATACACAAATTCTCCACTCCGATCGGAAACCAATATGTTTCGGTGTTTAATCGATTTGCAGTCAACGATGCCACATGGATTTCCAGATCCTCTGTTCCCCCTTTCCCCATCTGATCATCAAATCTATTCTTACCCCCTAACTGTGGTCAGATATCTCAAAGCCTCCTGACCTACTGCTAACACAGGATCACTGAAACTTTACAGACATGCTGCAAAACTAGAAAGGGTTCAGAAACGATTTACGAGGATGGTACCAGGGTTGGAGGGTTTCAGCTATCGGGAGAGGCTGAAATAGTCTGGGGCTATTTTTCCTGGAGCATCAGAGGCTGAGGGGTGACCTTACAGATGTTTATAAAGTCATGAGGGGTGTGGATAGGGTGAATAGCCAAGGTCTTTTCCCCAGGGTAGGGGAGTCCAGAACTAGAGTGCATAGGTATAAGGTGAAAGATGTAAAAAGGACCTAAGGGGCAACTTTTTCACATAGAAGATGGTGCATGTGTGGAATGAGCTGCCAGAGGAAATGGTGGAGGCTGGTACAATTACAACATTTAAAAAGCTTTTGGATGCGTACATGAATAGGAAGGGTTTAAGAGGGATGTGTGCTGGCAAATGGGACTAGATTTATTTAGGATATCTGGTCAGCATGGATGAGTTGGACTGAAGGGTCTGTTTCCGTGCTGTATATCAGCATGACTCTATGACTGCAGCTTACAGGCTTAGTACAGAGAAGTAAGAAGATTTAGTATCATTGGAGACGATGCGTAGTTTGCCACATACAGAAAATGACTGTACTGTGACAACTGTGAAACCATCCACAAAGGGTTAGCTAAGATCTGCAGAGTTCTGTGATATCACCCCATTCACAGGGATGACTGTCTCTTGGGACGAGCAGTTCCCAAACCCTTGGGAAACACCATGTGAGTTCAGATCTCACTAACAGTGCACAGCGGGAGACAGATGCAGCTGGGAAAGGAACAATGATGTTGTTGCGACATGTCAGGAAAAGTCCTGGATGCCATCTTTAAACACAGAGGTGTAGGCTCAATCTGTGTGTGGAAGACCTTGAGCTGGACCGGTAAATGGCAGTCCATCAAATTCTTAATCCAACAGGGTCTCTATCTGGTTCATCTCAGGAGGTTGAGGCAATCCACCAAAAAGATTCACTTCTTTTCAATAGGTAAACTCCAATTTGTCCAGCTTCCTGGTTTACAGCCAAGAATCAGAAGTTCCTGATAAAACCATCCCTGGATTTTTATGTTCTCAATAATTTGCATTTTGATAGCAGCTTTAATGTTGTAAACATTCCCAAAGCACTTTGCAGGAGCAATAGCAGACAGAATTCAACAGCCAGCCTCAACTGCAGCTATCAGTAGGGAGTATCATAGAATCCCTACTGTGTGGAAACAGGCCCTTCGACCCATCAAGTTCACACCAAACCTCAGAGCATCCCACCCAGACCCATCCCCCTACAACCCACCTAATCTACACCTCCCTGAACACTACGGGTAATTTAGCATGGCCAATCCACCTAACCTGCACAACTTTGGACTGTGGGAGGAAACCGGAGCACCCGGAGGAAACCCAAACAGACACGGGGAGAACGTGCAAACTCCACACAGACAGTCGCCCAAGGGTGGAATTGAACCCAGGTCCCTGGCGCTGTGAGGCAGCAGTGCTAACCACTGCGCCACCGTGCCGCCCAAAGAAGGTGAAAGACGTCAGTTGTAAGGGGCATCTTCGAGGAACAAAGAGGAGGAGAGGTTTAGGGAGGGGGTGTAGGGGACCGGAGGAGGTGACAGAGATAGGGAGGCGGTGTAGGGGCCGGAGGAGGTTACAGAGATAGGGAGGGGTGTAGGGGGCCAGAAGAGGTTACAGAGATAGGGAGGGGTGTAGGGGCCGGAGGAGGTTACGGAGATAGGCAAGACCAAAGCAAAGAGGGAGTTAAAAATGGTCAAGAGTGTTTATTACCAGAAGCAGAAGTAGGACAGAGGTAACACCAGAATGGGACCAGGTGAGAGTTAGGAGATGGGGAATTCAGTGATGGCTTCACTCTGTCCCAGTCTTGCTAACCCTCCCTAGCTCTGCTGCTTGCTGAGATCTTTGTAACACCTCCCCGCCCCCCCGTCCCCTTGTACACCACTCCTGGCCTTTACTGCATCATTGACAGCTGCAATCTCCCCCAACATCAACCAAGCTTTCAGTGAGCTCCCTATTATCTGCTCCTTTGATTACATCTCAGTTTTATTATAACTCCCTCCTTGGGTCATTTTACCATGTGGAAGACACTATGTAAACACAATGACTGAACACAATGACCTCTCATACAACAACACGAGATGAGAAGCTATCTGCCTGAAAGAGGCGTTTTAGCAGCTGCCAGTGTCCTCACCTCTCGCTCCAGGCAGACAACACATTCCGACTGAGCCAGGACCTCCTCAGAGACTGCAGATGGACTGGACGGTGCTGCTTCATCCTCCGGGGGAGCACTGGGCCGGTTCTCACCCAGATCTGCAGCAGCTTCCTTTGTTGGGATGGGTCTCTGCTCTGTAGAGTCAAGACAAGATGCATATGTTAGCAGGTTAACCAGGAACAGCACCAGATCCCTCCATAACAAAACTCGTCTTGTCAGCAGCTTCACTCATCTGCCTCCTAGGAGTGTTCCCGTACCCACTCCAACCCCTCCCGTATCGGTCACTGTACTGCCTCTTACTGGACAGCCATGGGACCGAGAGAGAGAAACACAGAAAGACAGCAAATAGGAAAGTGATAAGTATGCAAAGGACTGAGCAAGAGAAAGAGAAAGGGGCAGGGGAAGGGGAAGACAGTTGAGGCAACATGAGGGTTGAACCAGGCCCCTGGGAGGCGATGGTCTACTGGTATTATCATTGGACTGTTAATCCAGAGACCTAGATAACATGCTAGGAACCCAGATTCAAATCCTGCCATGGCAGATAGTGGAATTTGAATTCAATAAATATCTGGAATTAAGAATCTAACAATGACCGTCAACCCATTGTCGATTGTCAGAAAAACCCATCTAGTTCACTAATGTCCTTTTGGGAAGGAAACTACCATCCTTACCTGATCTGGCCTACATATGACTCCAGGCCCACAGCAATGTGGTTGACTCTTAACTGTTCCCTGGGCAATTAGGGATGGGCAATAAATGATGGCCTAGCCAGCGATGCCCCTCATCCCATGAATGAATAAAGAAGGGCTAGTGAGGGAGGAAAACCTGAAACCTGCATTCCGACTACCAGGGAGAGTGCGACCTGTTTTGTGATCTCTACACCAAGCTAAGAGAGTGCATTACTCAGCAAGGCATTAGTACGCTGGCAAAGTAGCATGTCATTTGCTCACACAGTCACAGTCCTGGTGCCCTGTCTGTTATTTCGTTTTTGGGGACAGATAGCCAGTTCTATCATGACCGCCCTACACTCTGAGTGAGCCACGCTACATTCGAGGTAAAGCTGTGGGCGAGGCAGATCTTCTGCTCCCTCCTCCACACCAGTCTAACGTGTGCTCTAACCTTTCTATTCCCACTAGGGCCATGTGCCATATTTTACAGAGGCAAAACAAAAGAAAGACGTTTGCATTTATGTAGTGACTTTCACATCCCGAGGATGTCCTAAACCTCTAAAACCAATGACGTTTTGTTTGGACAAGCTTCCAAAGCGGCAGCACTGACCGATAAAATATTTAATTGGCTCAAGATGGGGGCTAGTATCAGGAAAACTTTGAGTGTGGGTGGATGGGGATAAAGCCCATTGGAGTGGGGACACGGTGCTCTATCGCTTCCATATACGAGGTCCTGACCATCTGTTTGGAAGTCCTGTGTTACAATTTGCTCAGTCTGAGCAATGACCTTCGCTGACTAACAGAAGCCATTTCAAAGTGTCTGCTTGATCTCCACACAAAGTCTATTTACAAACATCCTTTTGGAGACAGGGAGAGAAACAGGTATCCCTGTGCACTTACCTTCCCCAGGCCACATCTCCTGGACTCGCCGCAGAATGGCACGTTGCAGTCTGCTCTCTCGGACCCCAATCTGTGAACAGAGAGGCACATCTTCACAAAGATATTCACACAGCACTACACTCACACATCCTACAGCAGGATTCTGCACCACACCCAGCCCTCCTTGCTGGTTTCACAACCTCCACTGTCTAGGGAAGAGCCTCCTTCTTTACAGACGGTGGGATAATCCTGGCTAGCTCAGGGTAGACTCCTGAACAGCTGGAGTTCTCCTGGCCCCTCTACCCTGAGCTGGTAACACACCCTGGTGTGGCCAAAATCTCTCCTCAATCCCTCCACATCCAAATCATTTGTGTGAACAGATGTGATTGTAGCACTGATCCCTGTGGTCACCCACTAGGCACAGCCTGCCATCCTAAGAACGATCTATTTATTCCCATTCTCTGCTTTCTGTTCATTAACTAATCCATAACCCTTACTAATATAATTCATCAATCCCCCACACAATTTTATCTACTAACTTCTTGTGCTGGATCTTATCAAAATTGAAATGCACCACATCTACCAATACTCCCTTATCAATGTTACAAATAACGTCCTAAAAAAACTCCCAGATTGTCAAAAATAATTGGTCTTTCATAAATCCATGTTGACTTTGCTCAATTTTACCATTCCTTTCAAAGTGTCCAGTTGTAAATGTTAATATTTTCCCATTACTCATGGGTCTATAGTTCTTTATTCTCCCTCTTCCTTCCCTCAGAAATTGAACATGTTTGTGCCCATATGTAGAAAGATTTGGACAATATTAGTTTTGGGCGGACAAGAGGCATGAATGGGACTTGCAAATTAGTTTCAGGCAATGATCACCTAAATAAGACAGAATCTAACCATCTCCATTTAATGGCATTACCATCACTGAACCTTTCACAATCAATTCCTAGAAACTATCATTGATAATGAACTGAACTAGACCAGCAAAACAAATATTGCGGCTACAAGAGGAGGTCAGAGGGTAGGAATCCTGCAGCAAGAAACTCACTTTTTGACTCCCCAAAGCCATCCACCATCTTCAAGGCACAAGTCACGAGTGTGATGGAATACTCCCCACTTGCCTGGATGAGTGCAGCTCCAACACTCAAGAAGCTTGATATCATGCAGGACAAATCAGCTCATTTGACTGGCACTGCATCTACCACCTCAAAAATTCATTTCTCCCATCATCGATCCATAGTTGCAGCAGTGTGAACAATCTACAAGATGCACTGCAGCAATGTGCCACTGTTCCTGAGACAGCACCTTCCAAACCCACAATCATTTCCATCTAGGAGGACAAGGGCAGCAGATACATGGGAACACCACCCCTGCACATTTCCCTCCAAGTCATTCCCCATCCTGATTTGGAAATATTTCACTGTTCCTTCAGTGTTGCTGGATCAAATCCCAAAACTGTCTTCCTAACAGCACTGTGAGAGACCCTACATCCCAAGGACTGCAACAGGTCAAGAAGTAGTCGATCACAAACTTGTCCAGGGACAATTAGGGATAGGCATTAAAAGCCAGCCCAGCCAGCTACATGCACATCGCATGAGTGAATAAAAAGAGGAAATGTCTTACCGGATCCTGTGTCACTTTCTGCCAAGTCTAAAGCAGATTTGTGAAATCCTCCACTCCTCAGAGATTAGAAACATTCTTGTGGAAATCACAACAGCTCCCAGACACCACAACCATGGCCAAGTCTGCATGCCTCATCATGCCAACATGGCACGCAGGCACGGAGCAAACTCGAACACAGGAGGAACTTGGAATATTGTGTTCGAAAACAGGATGAGCAGATTCATTCAGAACTTGACTGTAACGCCTCATTGATACCAGAGACAGTCTCCGCTGAATCAGTCACCAATTAAATGATTTGGAGGTGGTCAGTCTCAATGAAACTGTCACTCCCACACCACTCACTGTATCCATCTCAGTGGGAGCGGTCACTCCCACACCA